CCGCGGTACGGATGGGGCTGAGGGGTGATGGGGTTGGCGAGGGGTGGGCGGGCACTGGGGTCTCACCTGAGCTCTGCTCCAGCCCCAGGTCAATCTTTATGGTTCCCATCCCTTCTACCTGGTGCTGGAGGACGGTGGCTCTGCGCATGGTGTCTTCCTGCTGAACAGCAATGCCATGGGTGAGTGCTGCCAGGCACGTGGCCACACCGGGACTGACCCTGCACTGACCACTGCCTGCACCCCCAGATGTGCTCCTGCAGCCCAGCCCAGCCCTGACCTGGCGCACAACAGGAGGCATCCTGGACTTCTTTGTCTTCTTGGGCCCAGACCCCCAGAATGTGGTGCGGCAGTACCTGGATGTCGTTGGTAGGATGGCACAGCGTGGCAATGGGGTTCGGGTGCTCACAGCATGTCACCACCCCTGCTAGCAGCCGCTCTCCTGCCCCACAGGGTTCCCCTTCATGCCCCCATACTGGGCCTTGGGCTTCCACCTGTGCCGCTGGGGTTATTCCTCCTCTGCCACCACCCGGCAGGCTGCAGCCAACATGTCAGCTGGGCGCTTCCCCCTGGTACGTGGCAATGGATGTGGGGTGGCTGTGGGCACCATGTGAGGCTGCTCCTCACTGAGCGCTGCCCTGCAGGACGTGCAGTGGAACGACCTGGATTACATGGATGCAAAGAGGGACTTTACCTACAACAAGGAAACCTTCAGGGATTACCCCGACATGGTGCACGACTTCCATCAGCGTGGACTGCACTATGTCATGATCGTGGTGAGGGACGTGGCCTGCTCACCTCATCGGTTGAGTCCTACACGGCTTCGGTTTAGTGGCAGTCTGGGGTTTATTCATACCTTTATGATAAATCATGAGGTGGGGTCGGATGATTCTTAGTAGCCCTTGATCAGTGCTCCATCATCGGCCAATTGAACGCAGTGCGTCAGTGGTGAGTGCTGCACTCAGCTTTGAGTTCTTCACTACAAGAAAGGCATTGAGGCCTTGGAGTGTGTCCAGAGAGGGGCAGTGGAGCTGTGAGGGGCCTGGAGCACGACTATTATGGGATGGCATTAGGAAACTTTTAATCTCCAAAAGAGCAGTGATGCATTGGCACAGCTGCCCAGCGGAGGGGGGGGGGGTTACCAGCCCTGGAGGTGTTCCAGAATTGTGGAAATGTGGCACTTGGGGACATGGTCAGTGGGATGGGTTAGGGTTGAGTTTGGGGATCTTAGAGATCTTTTCCAACCTTAATTACTCTGTGATTCTGATCACCATGGCCCTAATCATCCTAATCATCCTCGCCCTCTGCTCTCCTGGGTTTTACAAAATCTCATACAGCAGTGGGGCTGGGAGCCGTTCCCTGTCCTTGCTGGTGATGCCGTGGCTTTGTGCCCTGCAGGATCCTGGCATCAGCAGCTCGGGGCCGCCTGGCACCTATCGGCCCTATGATGATGGACTGAAGAGAGGAGTGTTCATCCGCAACGCCACGGGGCAGCCACTTATTGGGAAGGTGTGAGGGGCACAGCTCTGTTCTGGAGCATGGGGGCCGTGTGGGGGCTGTGGGGAGTGGTGAGAAGGAGGGGAGCACCCAGGGGGGACCAAGGGATGCCAGGGATAGGAATGGGGTTCTGCCCATCACTGACCCTCCTGCAGGTGTGGCCAGGCCCCACGGCTTTCCCAGACTTCACCAATCCTGAGACGCACGAGTGGTGGCACGACATGGTGAAGGACTTCCACCAGCAGGTGCCATTCGATGGCATGTGGATTGTGAGTGGCCAATGCAGCTCCCAGCTCCTTCCCCGCCTTCCCCGCTCCCTACTTTCCCAGCAGTGAGGGCTCCTCCTTGCCTTCCCCAGGACATGAACGAGCCATCCAACTTTGTGGAGGGCTCCCAGGATGGCTGCCCTGACAGCAGCCTGGAGAAGCCCCCATACGTGCCGGGTGAGCAGCGCTGGGGGTGCTGCCGTGGGCAGTGCTCTGTTGGCAGCCCCCAGCTCACCCTCACCTCTCTGTGCAGGTGTGTTTGGGGGCCGCCTGCAGGCAGGCACCATCTGCGCCTCCAGCCAGCAGCACCTCTCCTCCCACTACAACCTGCACAGCCTGTATGGGCTGACCGAGGCCATCGCCTCCCACAAGTAAGTGTCAGCCCACCGGACGGGAGCTGGAGATGCTGGTGCCATTGGGGTGAAAGTGTGGGCTCAGATTTGGTTGGAGATGCAGGGAACAAGAGGGGGGTTGGTTTACAGCACAGCTGCCGTGCCCCCAGCACAGGGCTCAGCCCCGGTCTCTCCCTGCAGTGCACTGCTCAGGGTGCGGGGCACGCGGCCCTTCGTCATCTCGCGCTCCACGTTTGCGGGACACGGCCATTACGCAGGGCACTGGACAGGGGATGTGGAGAGCAGTTGGGAGCAGCTGGCCCGCTCTGTGCCAGGTGGGCTGCAGGGCCGCGTCCCCTTCTTCCCTTTGGGGCTGTGCAGCCATCCCTGTGCCGCTGTGCCATCGCTGTGTGTCCCGCAGAGGTGCTGCTCTTCAACCTCCTCGGGGTTCCGCTGGTGGGTGCTGACATCTGTGGCTTTGCGGGCGACACATCCGAGGAGCTGTGCGTGCGCTGGACCCAGCTGGGTGCCTTCTACCCCTTTATGAGGAACCACAATGACCACGGGAACCGAGTGAGCACGGGGCCGAGGGCCGTGTCCCCATCCATCGCTGCATGCGTGCATCCATGCACTGTCTGAGCTCCCGCTTCTCACAGCCACAGGAGCCCTATGCCTTTGGCCTGGCTGCACAGGATGCCATGAGGAGGGCCCTCCGCCTCCGCTACTCCCTCCTGCCCCACCTTTACACCCTCTTCCACCGGGCACACGTGGCTGGGGACACGGTGGCACGGCCACTGTTCCTTGAGTGAGTGCCAGGTGCTGGGCATGGGGCAGTGGGTGCGGGATGGGCTTTGCTGTGGTGCTGCCCCTTCACTCCTCCCCAGGTTCCCCACAGACCCCAACACGTGGAGCGTGGACCGCCAGCTGCTGTGGGGCGCAGGGCTGCTGATCACGCCTGTGCTGGAGCAGGGACAGACCAAAGTCAGTGGCTATTTCCCAGCTGGGACGTGGTACAGCTTCACAGGGGTAAGTGCTGGCTGTGGGACAGTGTGTGTCTTCCTCCATCTCACCCCAACATATGACCTGTGAGCTGTCCCCAGAGCTGGGACACTTCCTTCCCTCGTGGCAGTCTGAGGGCTGTGATGCTCTGCTGGGATCCCCGTGGATGCGTTGATCCCCAGGATGCAGCCTTTCTTCTTTTTCTTATTTAGGACTCTACCATCCACAGCAAAGGGCAGTGGATCCTTTTAGCAGCGCCTCTGGACACCATTAACGTGCACATCCGAGCAGGGCACATCCTGCCCCTGCAGGTGAGTTCTCTCCATGTGACACCCCAATGACAATGGGACCCAGCCACTCCATGGCTGTGCATGGGGTTGGGGCAGGGCCTGGGTCTGACCCTGCACCCCCAGGAGCCCGGACTGAACACAGTTGAGTCCCGCAAGAAGGGGATGACTGTGGTGGTGGCCTTGACACCGGATGGCTTCGCCCGTGGAGAGCTGTACTGGGACGATGGGGAGAGCTGGCAGAGCTTCGAGAAGGGGGACTGCACTGAGATCCTCTTCCTGGCTGCACGCGTGAGCATGGGATGGGGCTGGGAGTTGGGGGGGGGGGGGGCACTGGTGTACCCACATCATACCGAGGTCCCCAGGGTGAGCCCCGCCATCACTGCATCCCCTTGAGCTGCTCGCAATGCGGTGCCAGTGGTGCTGGCTGGGGCAAGGAGGGGGTGCTTGGGGGGGCCCCAGGGGCATTGGATGACCTTCCCTGTTTCCACAGGGTGCCGTGCTTAGCCAGATCTTGCAGGCTGGCGGCCATCTGGATGGGATCCTGCTGGAGGCCATCACCGTGCTGGGCGTCCCCAGTGCTCCACAGCGAGTCCTGGCCAATGGCATCCCCGTGGAGGACTTCTCATACCGCAGTGACACCCAGGTGAGTGCTGCTCTTCCTGGGGGAGCCCCGGGCCCGTGGGATGGGGCTGACTCTGCTTTTGCCTCCCCAGGTGCTGCGTGTCTCCGTGTCGCTGCCGATGTGGGAGCAGTTTGTGGTCGCTTGGTCCTGAGCAGGTGATTGTCCCAGGTGTCACTGTGCCATTGTGCTTCGAATCCGGCCGTCCCTTCTGAAGCAGTGTTGCCTCTTGCCCATGTGTTGTGGCTGCTGAGCCTGGCATATTTGTGCTGAAATGAACTCATAGGAGGTGTAAGAATGGGGCTGGCACAAGCAGGCCTGCAGAACTTGAGGGGATGGGGAAAAACTCATCGACAGAATGGGGAAAAAAAAAGACCCAAGTGCCTTCTGAGACAGCAACCTGTCAGTGTGAGAAATCTGGCACCTGTCAGGGACTGTGGGGATTCTCCTGGTTGTGGTTTTGGGATGGATGTGGGAGAGTCCCTTCTGCACACTGGACTGTGGTGGTCAGTGTGTGCTGGGTGTGGGATGCAGTCTGGAGCTTTTCCACGAGGGCTGGGAGTGGGGTGAGGGCCTGGGGAGAAATGCTGTGAATAAAGAGTGGTTGTTTGCTCCCAGCAGTTCGTGTTGCTGTAGCCATTGGGCTCAGTCCCAGCCTGTCCTGCTATCAGCTCTCAGCCCTCCCCTTGGTTGGGGCACCCTGGCTCCATCCCCAGCATTTGGGGATTCTGGAGCTGTGCTGAGCTGTGGGGTTTAATCACAGCCTGGCCCCACAAAGAATAGAAGGGTGCCTAGTGGTTGCCCCTGTCCCCTCCCTGCACCTGAGGGTGTCACAGGGGTGACAATCAGGGCAGCCCCAGAGCATGCACACCACAGCAGTTCTGCATGCTGTGCGCATTGTGCCAAAATGAGAACTACACCACTTCTGTGTGCCCACCAGTGGCTGCTGGCTGCTTCCCAGTGAGCTGCAGAGGGACAGCTGAGCCCCAGCTACATCACACAGCTCTCCACCAGAAGCTTTATTGAGCATCAGTTTGGCTTTACAGCTTCTCAGTCTGAGCAGAGCCACGAGGATCCCCGTGCCGCAGCCCAGGCAGTGCTGGTGGAGCGGCTCACAGCTCGTTGTGCAGCGGCTGGCACTGCGGGCTCAGCTTCTCCTCCAGGACAGCATCAGGGGCGCACACCCAGGGGTCCCCCGTGTCCCACTGCCACTTCAGCAGCTGCGCACGCAGCATCTGGAAGATGGCAGCATAGCGTGGGTCAGAGGCCAGGTTGTGGCTCTCGGTCGGGTCCTGGCTGCAGTCAAAGAGCTCCCAGCGGTCCCGGTAGTAATACTGGTGCAAGGTCTTGTTCCAGTGCGTGGGCTGCCCAGCCCTGGTGCGGTTCAACAGGTCTTGAAATGTAGGTGAGACGTAGAAGTCCTGGTCGATGGGGAAGGGCATCTTGTAGTTGAGGTTGTGGATGAGGCGGAACTGGCGGTGCTGGATGGCACGCATGGGGTAGTACGTGGTGGCCTCGTGGTGGCTTTGGCTGCTGAAGGCGGTGGCCCAGGGCTGCTCTGACTGCAGCGCTGGCAGGAGAGATTTACCCGTCAGCTGCACCCGCTTTGTGCCAAAGATGCTGTACGAAGGGTAGGGGATGGAGAACCAGTCCAGAATGGTCGGTGTGAGATCTGCAGGGAAAGAGAAGGCGAGGAGGGAGCTGGCACCCATGGGAGTGAGCTCAACCTGAGAGGGTCACCCGTGCTTATCCCACCTATGCTGGGGTGACTGCAGCACAGAGATGCAGTGCAGGAGAAAACTGGCACAGCTCCGCTTCCTCCTCACAGGCAGCACTTACCCAGGAGGCTGGCAAAGGCTGAGCTGACCTGGCCCCAGCGCCCGGGGTGCTCCGGGGAGGAGAGCAGCAGGGGCTCAGCTGTGCCTGACCAGTAGAGGTTGGTCCTGCCACCGGGGAAGGGGATGCCGTTGTCAGAGGTGTAGATCACCAGCGTGCTGTTGAGGACGCCAGCACGCCGCAGCTCCTCCAGCACCAGCCCGATCCCTGTGGGCAGCAGGCAGAGCTGGGCAGCTGCAGGACAGAGCTCTGTGTGCAGGCACCAGCTGCTCCCACACCCCTTACCTTGGTCCATGCGTCCAATGGTGGTGTACTGAGCTGCCAAGTCTGCCCGGGCAGCCGGTGTGTCTGGAACAAAGCGAGGGACCTACATGGAGAAAGGGGAAGTGGTGTGTGGGGCCATGGGAGGGGTGGCATCGGCACACCATGGCTGGTGGCTGTTGTGCAACCCCATGGCCCCAACCTGCACATCCTCTGGGTGGTAGAGCTGTGGTTTCCAGTCAGGGATCCAGCCCATGCCACTCTCTCCATTGCCAAATTTCTCACAAAAGGCTCCATACTGGGGCTGGGAATGCCCGCAGCGGTGTGGGTCGTGGAAAGCAACATAGAGGAAGAAAGGCCTGGAGAGGGGGGAGGCAGCGGAGCTGGGGATAACCTGTGTGCCCCATTGGCCCCCCAGTCACAGCCTTCTGTGTCCCCCCTGCAGGGTGCTCAGGGCTCCCAGGCACACAGGGCCCCATCCCACCTCGTGTCCTGGCTCTGCAGGAAGCGCCGGACCAGCGCTTTGATGCGGGTGATGTTCCTCCCCACCTGCAGCACCGAGCTGTTTTCTTCCGTGTAGGCAAAGTCGAAGGGGTACACAGCCTCAGGCCCAACGTGCTTCTTCCCAATGATCCCTATAGAAACACAGATGTGTGCTGTGCCAAGAGGAGAGGGGCAGGGCACTCTCGGCCCCTCCTTCTGCCCCAGGGCTGGTGCAGAGATTCTGCTCCATCACAAATGATGCCCCAGTCCTTGCTGCTGTATGCAGAGGCACTTCTGTGTGTGGTCAGAAAATGGGACCTGCCTGGGACTGCTCTGCCCTGGCCACAGCGTGCACCAGCACTGGAGCAGCGAGCAAATGGGGGGGAGGTGTGGGTCCGGCATGAGGCTGGGAGCCAGAAAGCAGCAGGAGAACAGAAGTGGAAGCAGTATGGAGGCCGTGGAGGGAGCAGAGCAGGGGCATAAGCCCGGCACCACGCAGGGCTGCAGTCAGTGTTTCCCTCCCTGTGCCGGGTCCCCACCTGTGCGGATGTTTGCCTGGCGGAGCAGCCACGGCAGGCTGCGCACGGCGTCGAAGGAGTTGAAGTGATGCACGCCCTGGTGCAGCCCGTACATCCCATTCTGGTGCTGCAGACGGGGGGAGGCCACGCGGTGGGACGATGCCCAGCGTGCTGACCTCCAGAACAGCACAGCATGGCTGCAGTGCCGGGCAGGGGATGCCCACCTGGGGCAGCCCGGTCAGCACGCTGGCCCGGCTCGGCGAGCAGCTGCTGACGGACGTGAAAGCGTTCTGGAAGAGCAGACTGCGCCGCGCCAGCGCGTCCAGGTTGGGCGTCCGGATGGCCGAGTTGTTATAGGCACCGCTCTCGAAGCCGCCGTCGTCAGCTGCGGGAACAGGAGCGCGGGGTGAGCCCTGCGGCACGGGGTGAGCCCGGCCCGGCCGAACCCTGCGGGCAGCAGAACCGGCGGTGGGCAGGGAGAAGCTCACGGTCATCCCGCAGCACAGCCACGTTCCCCGGGCGCTCACCCAGCAGGAGCAGCACGTTGCGGGCCAGGGCTCCGTCGAGCCGGAGCGCACACAGCAGCAGCGGCAGCGCCCAAACCCGCATGGTACCGACACCGGCCCCGGCCCCGACACCGACACCGACACCGACACCGGCAGGGCTCGGGGGCCGCAGCTCCTCCTTCTGCTCCAGTCACATGAGCCGGCCGGAACGGCTCACATCCGTCCCAGGCGGAGCCGCCCGCCGGATGCAGCGCTGCGGGTATTTGTGTGCCCGAAGCTGTCGGGAGCGGCGGGAGGAGCGGGGCGGCCGGCGGGCGGAGCGGCCCCCGAGGATGCCGTGAGCCCAAACTGAGCCATGTGGGGCCCGCGGGAGCCCGGGCAGCGCTGGTGGCAGCGGGCGGTGCTCCGGAGGCTGCCCGTGCTCGGCTGGCTGCCGCGCTACTCGCTGTCCTGCCTGCGGCTCGACCTGATCGCCGGCGTTACCGTGGGGCTCACGGTCGTGCCGCAGGCGCTGGCGTACGCCGAGGTGGCCGGGCTGCCCGTGCAGGTGGGTGGCACAGCCCCGGGCTGCCTTCGGCCCTGCCCGTGGGGACCCGCGGGTTGGAGGGGGCAGAGCAGAATGGGACGACTGGGATGGTCGGGTAGGGCTGGGTGCAAGCACAGGTGGCATAGAATCATACCATCACAGGATGGTTGGTGCTGGAAGGGACCATAAAGGCCATCTGGTGCCACCCCTGCCCTGAGCAGGGGCACCCACAGCTCCATCAGTGCTCACAGCCCATCCCCTGCCCTTGGCTGTCTGCAGGGATGGGGCACCACCGCCTGTCTGGGCAACCCGTGCCACTGCCTCACTGCCTGTATTGTTAAAACTTCTTCCTTGTATCCAATCTGAGTGCTCTGTGTCCCCGTGCAGTACGGCCTCTACTCTTCCTTCGTGGGCTGCTTTGTGTACTGCCTCCTGGGCACCGCCAAGGATGTGACGTTGGGCCCCACTGCCATCATGTCCCTGCTTGTCTCGTCCTACGCCTTCCATGACCCTGCCTATGCTGTGCTGCTTGCCTTCCTGTCTGGCTGCATCCAGCTGGCCATGGGGCTCCTGCACCTCGGTGAGATGCCTGTGCTGTGTGTTTGTGTTCTAGAGATGTGTCCTGCAGTCGCTCCCTCCACTGTGCTCTCTGAGATGCTGGAGTTGTGCTGCTGTCACTTGTCACAGCTTTGCGTGCACCCCTTTCTCCCCTTCAGTGCCAGCAAAGCAATCTGTGTCACTCATCCCATGCAGGTTTCCTCCTGGACTTTGTTTCCTGCCCAGTCATTAAGGGCTTTACGTCAGCTGCTTCCATCACCATTAGCTTCAACCAGGTCAAGGTATGGGCTCAGCTCTGCCCCCCTCTCCTGGAGCCGTGCTGGCTGCTCAGCAGTGGGCAGCACTCTGGCTCTTCTGGAGCTGCAATGCTTCCTTTGTGGTTAACCAAAATCAGGCTCAGGGCCACAGTGTGAGATTGTGCAAGGAAGCAGGGGATGGGTCTGGCAGGGGCTGCCTGGGATGGAGGCCTCTCAGAGCTTGGGGCTGAAAGAGAACCAGAGCATCCCTGGGGCAGCCCACGAGGTCTGTCCTCGCTGTGTGTTGGAACTCAGGGAAGTTGCTCTGAGCTGTCCCAGCCTGCAGTGCCATGGGATGGCCATTGTGTGCTGGGCTTGCATGAGGTTGTCTTTCTGCACAGAACATCCTGGGGCTGCAGGGGATCCCTCGTCAGTTTTTCCTGCAGGTGTATGAAACGCTGAGGAGGATCGGAGAGACCAGGTCAGCACCGTCCCTGCAGCCTTGTGCTCTCAGGCTTTGCTGCTTCACTACATGCCTCTGGTCACCCCTTGGACTGTTTCTCAGTCCACGCCCAGCACTGTGACATGAGAGTCTGTTCTCTACACTTCTCAATTTTTCTGGAAATTCGAAGATAGGGATGCACATGGGCTCCTAAAGAGGGGCACAGGGCGAACTTCTCCTGTTCTCTGCTCCCCTTTAGGATTTTGCCAGCCCAAAAGCACATCCTTGGGGCCGTGCATCTGTCACAAGTCCTCCCCCAGTTTTTGGTGGCCCAAGAGAGGAGCTCCCAGGTTTCACACACCTCATTGCTGTAGGGAGGGGAGGTGGTGGGTCTGGCTGCACGAATCCTGCCTACCGCTGGCATCCTTCTTCCCTGTCCCCAAAGAGCCCACAAGCGGTGTGGGGGGCAGACGCTCTCCTTCCCCTACAGCGAGGTGATGAGTTTTGCTGGTGATTCATTTTGCCGGCGGTGCTGCAGCATCCCTGCAAGGCAGCAGCCCTGACACATCCCATTGCAGGGTTGGGGATGCCATTCTGGGGCTGTCCTGCCTGGCTGCACTGGCTGGGCTGAGGGCCATGAACAGCCGCCTGCACCCCGCTGCCAGCACGGAGCCACTGGCTACCAGGGCCAGCATCCTGCTCATCCAGAGCTGTGCCACAGGTGCGTTGCTCCCTGCCCCCTGCTCTCCCAGGACCTCGTAGCCTGGACTCCCCTCTTTGCCCCAGGTTTTCAGGGCTGTTCTCTCCCCGCAGCACGCAATGCCCTGGTGGTGCTGGCTGCTGGCCTGGTGGCATACTCCTTCCAGGTGAGCGGCTCCCAACCGCTGACGCTCACTGGCAGTGTTCCCTGTGGGCTCCCCCCGTTCCGTCCACCACCCTTCTCCAAGCCTGTTCCCAATGGCACTGTGCCCTTTGGCAGGATGGTGCAGGTGGGTGCCGGGCTCTGGGGCTGCTTTGTCAGCACCTCGGGGCTTGCTCCTCTGTTCTGATGCTCCCCATCCTCCTCTGCAGGACATGGGGGCTGGGCTGGCCGTGGTCCCCCTGGTGGGTGTGCTGGAGACTGTCGCCATTGCCAAAGCTTTTGGTACGGCTGGAGGGGGCCCTGTGAGGGGTTGGGGGCTGAGGGGACCTTGCAGTTCCCATGGGGGCTGTGTGCTGAGCGCTCTGGGCTGTGCTTCTCTCCTTGCAGCTTCACAGAACGATTACAGGATCGATGCCAACCAAGAGCTGCTGGCCATGGGTAAGGCTGTGGGGCTTGTAAGGATGGGTGGGCCCATCTGGAGCAGAGGAGGTGACAGCGGTGACACAGATCGAGTTGTGCACCCACAGCCCCTCTCCTTCCTGACTGCAGGCACTGCCAACATCCTGGGCTCCTTCTTCTCCTCGTATCCCATCACAGGAAGCTTTGGCCGGTGGGTGTATGGTGAATACATGAAGTGGGGCTCATCCTGGGGGGTTGCGCAGAGACCTCAGGCAGAGCCCATGTGGTGCTGGTGGTTCCCGTGCCCTGGCCCCCAGCTGGCAGCAAGGCAGGCACATCATACAGCTGCTTTGCCCCCCAAGTCCCACAGTGGGTGGGGGGCACCAGGTTTGCCAGCAGCCCCCAGCAGGACCTGCCCAGGGGCTGTGCAGGCAGCAGGAGGGGCAGCGTGTGGCTCTGTGTTTCAGGACAGCAGTGAATGCACAGACAGGGGTCTGCACCCCCATGGGAGGGCTCGTCACAGGTATTGCCTCTCACCTTGCTGCTCCTGGCCTCGGAGAGCCCCAGTACATGGGGGGGCATGGCTGAGGCACCGCTGCTGTCCCACAGGCACCCTGGTGCTGCTGTCCCTGGCCTACCTCACCTCGCTCTTCTGCTACATCCCTAAAGCAGCGCTGGCGGCCGTCATCATCTCTGCTGTGGTCCCCATGTTTGATGCCAGGATCTTCAGGACACTCTGGAGGGTTAAGAGTGAGGGCACAAGTGGGGTGGGTGATGCCCAGACTGGGTGAGATGGGGTGTTTCAGCCGTGGCCCCAGAAATGCCTGAGCCCTTCCCAGGGGTTGCATGTCCATGGCTGGGGGTTTCTCCTTTTGCTGACCCAGTGACTGTTTCCTCCTCAGTTGTTCTGCCCTTGGGTCATAGAATCAGAGCATGGTTGGGTTGGAAGGAACCTCAGAACCCCCCTCAGGCCCACTGCCTGCCATGGGTTAACTGCCTGCCACCAGCTCAGGCTGCCCAGGGACCATCCATGGCCTTGGGAACCTCTAGGGATGGAGCACATACACTTCTCTGGGCAGCAGTGCCAGGGCCTCATCACCTCTGGCTAAAGAATTTCCTCCTTGCATCTGACCTAATTCTTTCCTCTTTTAGTTTAAAACCATTCCACCTTCCCTGTGGGACCAGAATTGGGTTATGGAGCATCAGAGTGCTGCATCACCTTATCTATTTTCTGCTGTGCTTCCCTCTGCTTATCCACTGCTGGTTACCAACTTGACACTGAGGTTCTGGTGGCTGGAAGATGAGGCACAGCCAAGCCTGAGGCTGTCTATTTTGCAGGGCTGGACCTCGTCCCCCTCTGTGTGACATTTCTGCTCTGCTTCTGGGAGGTGCAGTACGGCATCATGGCTGGCGTGCTGGTCTCAGGCATCCTCCTGCTCTACTCCGTGGCCAGGCCCCCGATCAAGGTGGGCTTACACCCTGCTTGGGCTCTTGCTGGCTCCCTGAGAGCAGCAGGGAATGGTGCAGGGCCCTGTCCTGCTCCTGCCCTGTCCCATGTCCCCAGCCAGCTGTCAGCACAGCCCAGGGTCTTGTTCCAAGGAGCAAAAGCACAGGAGGAACCCAAGGAACTAGAGGCAGGAGAGTGAGGCATTGCTTCCTTGTACCTTGGGTGTGTGCAGGAGGGGAATTCCTGTGAGGATGGGGGTGTGCTCACCCAGCAGGAAGGACACTGGCTCACGTTGTCACGTGTGCCATTTCCTGGCTCAGGGCAGACCCCAGCCCTCAGCCCACTGTGACTCAGTCCCATGGGCCCCGTGCAGGTGTTGGAGCAAGGTGTGCTGGTCGTACAGCCGGGGAGCAGCCTGCACTTCCCTGCTGCTGACCACCTCCAGGACATCATCCGTGACCGAGCGCTGGCAGGTATGGTGCTCCTCAGCCATCAGATGGAAATGGGGACCCCCAATGCTTCCCAGATCACTTGTGGGGGAGCTAAGCCTTGTAGCTATGACCAAACACAGCACAGCTTTGGGCTGCCTGATCCGCAGGGCTGTGTCCCCTGGGGCACCTGTACTGCTCATGGAAAATGACCATGCGTTCTCCCAGCAGCGTCCCCACCGTGCTCTGTCATCCTGGATTGCCACCATGTCAGCAGCATCGACTACACAGCAGTG